ACGACGCCAGAGCGAGAAGGCCTAATCCGCGCGATCGAGTTCGGGAATGACCCTCTTGCTGCATGACCCGTCGGCGAATACACCCCCGACGAGAAACCCACTCGACCTGCGCGCCACCCGGCTGCAGAGGGCCAGGGAAAGAATCGGCGGGGTGGTTGAAAACTCCGAAGCACGCGAGCACGTCGCCCGCGCCCTCCGCCCAACCCCTCACCGCGCCCTTGACCAAAGCCCCCCCCCGCTCGACGCCTCCGCAGCCTCCGCACATTGCCATAAACGATGCCTTCATGCGTCTTCCGCGTCGAGGCGCAGCGGGCGCGGCGCGGGCGGCGCAACGCAGCCTAATCGGCAGCGCGCTGCCTAATGTAAATGGCGCTGCAAAACAGAAACCTCACACAACCTCTCTGAAAGAGACCGAGCCGAGAGCTCCAGAGCCATCTGAAAACTCCATCGACGCACGCCCCTCCGTTCAAGTTAAGTTTGGCCCCCACGCCCCACTCCAGCCCACAGCTAGCCGCTCTCTTGAGAAGCGCAGTCAGCAGCTGAGGCGAAATTCAAGCAAGCGCAATCTCCATGGCCCGAAGCGATCGTGGCAAAAGTTCCCGCGATCCAGGAAATGCGCTCACAGGACTTCCGAAACGCCGACACAGGCCCAGAGGCGCGCCCCCAGCCCCTTCCCCCCACGGGAATCAACGCCCCGAGCTTCTCTGAGCTCGGTCAAGGGGACGGTAAGCAAATGCAAAGAATGGCGGGATATCCCAACCTCCCCATGCCCAACGAATGATCGGCGCCACCGCCGCGAGCCAGCGCGGCCCCTGGTGGGCCGACAAAGGCGGGCGTGGGATCTCCTGGTGGTCGAGGGCTGCAGCGCGGAGGCCGCCCCGCGAAGAAACTGCGACAGCTCGAAATCCGCAACCCCGGGAATGTCGGCCCCGAAAACGCCGCTAGCCATGGGCCCCGCGGCAAACGCGCGACGGGCCACGCGGCCCCCAACCGCGGGCCCCAAACGCGCCAACCTGGCAGAAACTCCTGGACGTGGCTCCCCCTACTTCTGGCCTTGCCAGATCATCCTCGGCGTCGACGCGCCTCGCCCGCAGCGCCGCCCGCGCCTACGTTGGCCGCGACTGGCGCGCGAGGGCCAGATATGCCCCAAGGCGAGCGCCGAGCCCCTTACCCAACGTCTGAGGAACAACGAGCGACCCCTTTTTCCAAGGTCATCTCAGTCATCTGAGACAATCGCGCCCGCGCCCTCCGACAGGGCCCCGTGCAAGGCACCCGCGGTGGGTTTTCTATGGCGGGGCAGGATGCAGTCGGGCGACCCCGTCGCAGAGAAGCGAGCATCGCCAATGCGTAGCTTTAAATGCACGTGGTCAGATGGTCGAGGGCCCCAACGGAGCGCGCGCGGATCAGAGTCGTCGCGAACCCGCGACCAGCCGCAATACACCTGGAAGCCCAGAAAGCCCGCCAGTGAAACTCGAAAGCCTGAACCATCTGCCCTGAAAACGCACGCGCACGGCGACTCCCGCAAGAGCCAACGGCAAGCTCAGACTCTTGCACCGATGCAACAAATCGCAGATATCAGCCGTCTCAAAGGATCGCCGCAGCCTGACCATTATCCTTCACGCTGGACTCGGCACGGAGCAACTGTCGCCACGCCACATCTTGACCTCGCCGCGAAAGGTCTTGAATCTGTCCAGCCACGGAGCCGAGACGCCGTCGCGCATGGGCAGGCCTGACAGGAAGTCCCCCAAACTGTCCTCGAAACCGACCCCGCCGCCGGAGGCCGCGGCAATGCGACCGGGCGCCCACCGCGGGGCAGACAAGATTATGCCGGGGCCCCTCTCGCCCGCAGCCCCCCAGCGCCCTGCTCAGCCACCGTAGAGGCCACCTAACCGCATGCAATCAAAAAAACCCAGAGGACTGGGAATGGGGGGGGGCTCGGGCAAAATAAAATTCCAAAACGAGGCAAGCGGAATGCCCCGCGACCCCCGGCGCGCATTGCTCTGATACGTCAGTAGCCACCTCCATCTCAGCGACGTCAGCCCGCAGCTCATGGGCCTTGTCCGACAAACCCTGGGCCCGGCAAAAATCGCCCCTCATGAGGGGCCCCGCGCAGCCGCCAAGAACGCCCGGGAGGGCGCGGGCGCGGGGGACAAGGCCCAAACTACATGCTGGAGGGAGAAGCACCGAGGCGCCGAAATGCCGGCGATCTCAACCTGCCGAGCTGGGAACGCAGCGCGGCTTGGACAGGGCGGCGCGGCGAGAGGCGCGACCCCTAGTTGGGCGCGACCAATGCCGCGCCCTTGGCCGCGCCACCACTGGCCAGGGAAAATCCAGCTGTTGCGAGCCCGCCGTGGATCGGCACGGGCGCTGGCCCAGCGCAAGAAGGGCGAGCCCAACCAAGTCCTGCGCGCCCGATCCTATCACGACCATGGGTTCCACGCTGAACCCCCCTCCAACTATGCCCTCAAATCCCAGCCCCCCCACCCGCCGAGCAGGCGGCAGAGAGCAGGAGGGGGGGTCGCTCCGAACGGTCCTCGCCATCGTGGAAATAGCAAGACGCCAGGGGGATGGGGCAAGACCCCGGAGGCAGACAACTCCGCCGGCCACGCGCGCAGGCACCGCATCACGCCCCGAAGCAGGGGAACGTGGCCCGAGCCCACTCCTCACCAGGATGGCTACACCTCCCGAGCGCCCTCCAACAAGTCCTGTAGCAGCTGGCGACCACAACGACTTCCAGCCGTGTCTGGTGGCCCCACTCGACGCAGATGCAACGCGATGCTCGGCTTGCTTGTGCTCCTGCAATAACGCAACGCGAGCTTCCGTCTCTCTATGCAGGCATGACACGACCCACGCCCCGGCGCGCCACAGGTCTCGATGATCGGACAAACCAAGCCCCCAGGACACGAAGATAGTTCAATGGGCGCATCGAGCGCCGCCCCTTGCTTCGACGCATTTGTTACCAGAGAGAAACAGAAATCCTCCGGCGCTGTAGTGGCCCTCAAAAGGCGCTCTGCAGGGGCTCGGAGAAACCGCGGGGTGCAAGGCCGCGTCGGCCTAGCCAGGGCACGACGGACCGCGTGAGAAAGAAGCGCTTGGAGCACCAAGCTGGGGCCCAAAAAAATCGGGACCCAGGCGGGGATCGCCGGGGCCACCAGGCCTGGGCGAAGCCTCGATGGCCCCGACATCAAAAATTCCAGCGCACAGGGGCGGTTCTAGAGTAGAACGGTCCTGTTCTACTCCGAAGGACGGCGGATCTGGAATGCAGAACGGGGCGGTTCGAGAGCAGAACGGAGCGATTCCAATTCTGTCAAACCCATCGCAACAAAAAAGGAGCAACTGTTCCTTGCGGCCGACCCGCGGGGCATCCCCAGACGGCGACCAAAGCGCGGCCCCCCAGGGCTTCCCGGAGAGCCCGAAGGAAAAAAGGCCCCTGGGGCACAGGCCTCAAGAAAAAGGCCCAACACTGCACTCTAAGCCGTCAAAGGTCGGACATGGCCTCGCCACCCCGAGGACGATCCCAAGCAAAGACCACATCGGCGACGGGCGGTGGCGGCGAGGACCAGGCGACGGCCTCAGATCGCCCCCGCAAGTCACTCCGCTCAGAAGACGATCGGCCCTCAGCGTCCGCAGGCCCGCGTTCGGCATCGACCGCTCCTCCCTCCGCCGGCGAAGGCCCCGCCCTACCAGGAGTGCTGGTCGCCCCCGTCGGTGTCGAAGTGTCCGCCGACGCACCGCCCGCAAGGCCATGTCCGAGGTCTCATGTGCGTCTCTTGGCCACCGACCTGGCCATCTCGTCCTTCTGCCGCTGCTCCAACTGGTTGAACTTCTCCATGGCATCGACGAACAAATGCTTGACCGCTCGTTGCAGTTCACTAACTATGCAAACAGACTTCGACGCTCCTCAAACGCTTGCTCGCCATCCTCAGACAACCCATACGACGACGTGTCGACGGGCACGAAAAAGATGTTAACCTCCCCTCCCGAAAGAACGGACTCGATCGACGAGCCTGGAAGAACTGATGCAGAGGGCTTGGGCGCCACCTGCGAATTCAGCTGCTCCACCAACCTCTTACGAGACTTCGCCGCTCCACGCAACTCATGAGACAAGGACTTGACGCGATCGCGACGAACCTCGAGTAGAGCGGTCGTCGACTCATAGGCCCCGAAAGCCTTCGAAAACCTGCCCTCGAGAGTACGCATGTCGTGGAAAGCCCTGTTGATTTGCTGCTGTAAAGGGGGACCCCGGCGATGACTCGCAATCTCCGCCTCCTTGTTGGCAACCATCTCCTTGCACTTGGCCACGCTTTCGGTGTCGCCCACGGCAGCAAGCTGAGCGCACTACTCCTTAAGCGCCTTAACCTCGCTCTCAGGGGTGGCTAAGACATGGTGTCCGCCTGATGAGGCCCACCACCACCGCCAGCCATGAACTGAGGGCCAGGGCGGGAAGGAAGCAGCACAGGACCATGCGCGGGGGCAAACCACTGTCCAGGCGCGACAGGCTTGGCCCAGACCCCGCTCGGAAGACGCGGCGGGCCGTACCCTGGAGCGGCACGGCAAGCCCAGCATACTTCGCAGTGCTGCCAGGACGCTTTGTTTTTCTTGCGGCCGCGGGAAGTGCACAGCCAAGTGCCACCATGAGCACGCGGGTGCTGGCCTCCCTGAGCCTGTGGATGCGGATGCCGCCAATGCACTTGGCCACAGTCGCGAGAGCTGGGGGGTGCAGGCGCCACGGCAGCGAGCTAAAACCAGTAATCCTCCCTGCGTTGACCTCAAAGAGGCCCTCAAGAGAGCACAGACGAGAGTCTGGTACAGCCCAGGGAACAATCTGGCGACCTGGGCCAGAAAGGCACTTGAGGGAGGAGGAGGAAGAGGAGCAGGAGGAGGAGGAGGACGAGGGCGGATGGAGGATGTGGAGGAGAAGGGAGAATATCAAGACGACGACGACGACGACGACAACGACGACCCAGCTGCGAGGGTCTCGCTCAAAGCGGCACCCAGGCCTCGTCCTCCTGCTCCTCCTCTGGCGTGGGAGGCGCGAGCTCCAGGGGGTCCGGCGCGTGCGCCTTCTTCCAGGCCTCCGCGAGGGGTCGCCGTTGTCGTCGTCGTCGTCGTCGTCGTCGTCGTCGTCGTCGTCGGCGTTGTCGGCGTCGTCGGCGGCGGCGGCGGAGACGGTGGGGGGGGCGCCGTCGTCGTCAACCGTCGTCGGCCGCCACCGCCGCCGCCGTCGTCCGTCGTCGTCGTCGTCATCGTCGTCGTCGTCTTCGTCGTCTTCGTCGTCCGTCGTCGTCTTCGTCGTCTTCGTCGTCCGTCGTCGGCCGTCGTCGGCGGCCTCGTCGTCATCGTAGTCGTCACCGCAGTCGCCCCCGCGCTCTCTATCATGCTTCTGCGAGAGGGCCAGGGGGGGTATAGGGGGGTAGGATCAGGTAGGGCATGTCCCCCTACAGGCGGATTTTGAACGAAAAATAAAATATAGCAGCGAAAATGCTCAACAAAATGCTTCAAAAAGAGTCAAAAAGAACCGTCCACATACTATTGTTCGACTCTTCGTGAATATTCCTCCTGTACCCGACTTCAGGGTAGGAAGCCCAAACTGCAGAGGCTCGAAAACGGCACGTGCCTTCAGTTTTCCTACGTGTTCTCGCCGCTGGAGGTGAGTTTTTCGGGCCATGGGACCGTTGAGAAGCGACTCTGCATGACGCACTGGCGCAGGGCTGGGCCATGGGGGTGGGGAAGAGGATGATAGAGGCCTCCTAGATGGGGTCCGAGTGGATGGGGTCGGAGGATCGCGCCAGATCGCCGATGAATCGGCGATGCATTGGTGATGCATCGGCGATGCATCGGCGATGCACCGGCGACGCATCGTTGATGTCGGCAATGCATCGGCGACGTCGACGTGAAGCAAATCGGGCTCCACATCGAGCCGCATCGGCAATGCATCGGCGATGCGGCGCGATCCGCTGGCCCCATCTACACCGATCCCATCTGGGCGGCCTAGAGGTGATAATCCAAGAAGATTGAGATTCAAGTTTGGACGTTGTTGCCCTTTCTTGGAACTCGAAGCTCTGCCCGCGCTGGAGCGCACCCCAAAAATCGGTCTTTGGACCGACTTCTGTCCCCCCGGGCCCAGACCTTTTCGCGTAGTGATAGAGAACAGCGGAAAGCATGTTTCAATGTTCCAAGCTGGTCAAGCAACTACTCAGGTCGATTCGTCTAGGGGTGCACGTTGTTTTCCAATCAGTGCTTGCACAGAAGGGGTCCTGGCGGATATTGGAAAATCTACGAAAATCCGTGCCGATCTCGGTAGGCGGCAAGATTCCCGGGTTCCCAGTTCACGGGTTCCCGGGTCCCCGGTTCTGGGTTCCGAGCCGAGTTCGGTGGGCGGCGGGGTTCCCGGTTTCCCGGGTTCCTGGTCGATCTTCTTATCGATCTGTCTCGCTATCGATCTCATTACCCACCTCTCTATCGATCTCAACATCGATCTCACAATCAATATCACTATGATCTCGCAAGCGATCCCACTATGATCGCACGAGCGATCCCACGATCGATCTCATGATCGATCTCATTGAATCGATGTCACTATCGGTCTCACGATCGACCTTACAATCGTCCTCACGATCGATTCCACGATCGATCTCACTGTCGATCTCAATGTCCAGATTGCAATGTTTCAAACCATCCACTGGTTGGGGTTTTCTCTGGTGCAATGGAAAGCATACCACAAAACAAAAACTACATCGGGGAGTTGGGATTGAGGGAGGAGGGGAGGGGGGTAGGACTTCAGGGGGGGTTAGAATTGTCAGACTTGTATATAGCAAAGGGTTCGGGGGGTCCCAAACGGTACTGGACGGGATGAGTGGATGGGGGGAAGAAGGAGGTTTTGGGAGGCCCTCGGCGATTTTCGGAGAACAGGGTCTTCGACTGCCTTCGTTGCTCAAACGATCCCGGGGGACTCAGGGGGAGGAGCGAAAAGGCGAGGAGGAGGAGGAGGAGAAAGAGAAGAGTGGAATGGAGGAGGCAGGAGATGGGAAACCAGTACAGCCCCAAAGAGCGGGGAAAAATGAGGTACCACCGCACTTGGATGCACCCACCACCAATCCATGTCGAACGGGCCGCCAGACGCAAGGGATGATGGAAAGCTGGTGGTTGGTATGGCCTCGTACGCTTTGGATGCGGAAGCTGGGACCGAAGGCTGACAAATGCCCCAAGGGGCGGTGAAATACAGTCGGATCTGGAACATCATAACATCCTTCAAGAACATGAGACCCTCCGCCGGCCAACATAAAGAGCATTCGATGGTACCCGCACAATAACATCCAACAAACACGAAGAACATCAATGTAACCTCCCCGAACATATCTCGATCTTCCACCTCGGTCCGACCGTAAGGCGGTGGTTTCCCAGAGGGCGCCTTCCCAAGGGCTGCTGTCTGCATTCCGTGCAGGCGTTCGGGTAACTATAAAGCGGGCCTCGGTCTCTCAGATCCCCACCAGGGAGGGGGGGGCGAGAGAAAAGGAAGGAAAAGCAGGAGGGGAGGGGGAAGTAGAACAAGTGAGGAGGAAGATGAGGGAGAGGAGGGAGAGGGGGAGGGCCGATAGGCGAGCCAGGACTCTTCGCCACTGCTTGACTATGGGCAATGCGGGCGCCCCCCCCCCGAAACTCTCTCTCGCCCACTTGTGCCAATCCTCGCGCCCGCTGGCCAGGATGGCCTCCGTGCGCCGCACCGCGCGGCCCAAAAGGAGCCGCGCTGGACTGAGCATCGCTTAACCGATCCCCATCCCCAGCGGCGCGGCCTGGGCCCCACTGGCCGATCCACCCCCCTGGGATGGGGAGAGAGGCCGTTCCCTTCGGGCTTTTCGAGGGGCGCTGGGGTCGCCCAACTGGGGTCGTACTTTGGTGGGGGCCCTCGAAGGGCATGGGGATGGGGATGGAGGTCGGTGAAACGCCTCGAGGCCCAGGGAGGAGGAGGAGGAGGAGGAGGAGGAGGAGGAGGAGGAGGAGGACAGGGAGGAGGGGAGAGGAGGAGGAGGGAGGAGGGAGGAGGAGGAGGAGGAGGAGGAGGCGGAGGGGAGGAGGAGGAGGAGGAGGAGGAGGAGGAGGAGGAGGAGGAGGAGGAGGAGGAGGGAGGAGGAGGAGGGGGAGCGGGAGCAGGAGGTACAGGGCCTGGGATCCTGCAGCGCGGGGCCCGACGGGGCGAGGCGGCCAGGCCCTGCACCAAGCCGCCGCGGGCGGGCGGCCCCGGGAGCCACCCGCGGAGCCCGCCCTCCCCGCCGGGGAGAGGGCCCGCCGCGCCCCCCGAGCGCGGCACCACCGCCTTAAGTGGGCCCCGGAAGCGGCAGGGCCGATTTGTCACCGTTTCCGAAAAAATGCCCCCTGAAAACGTTTCCGACAAAAATGCCCCTTGAAAATGGAAACGGCAGGGCCGATTTTTCATCGTTTCCGAAAACATGCCCCCTGAAAAAGGAAACGGCACAAAAAACAGCGACCAGAAACGGCAGCAAAAACGGCTCCAGGAGGGGAACTGGAGCGGGAACCTGCAAAAGAACGGCGACGGAACCGGCAAAAAAACGGCAAAACGGAACCGGTGACAAAAACGGCCCTGTCGTTTCCAGGGCCCACTAAGACCACCGCCGCCTGGAACTGCCACGCCCGGCAGCTGATCGGCGAGGCCTCGGGTTGGGGATCGACTACAGCATCGAGCTACTCAAGATCCCTGCATAGAATCGACCCCCCCAAAAAAACACCGAACGCCCCTCCAAATGCGACCTGATATTCTGGACCCCCCTCTTCGACGGGGCGCGGCCTCAACAAACCGGACCCCCCTTGGCTCCAATCCAAAGACAGAGCCCTAGTAAACCGGACCCCCCCAGTTACAAAAAAGGCGCCCTAAAAAACTGGGACCTGAGGAACGATTAACGAGGGACTTGGAGTACCCCACAACGAATTTGCTCGTCAGAGTCGTGCAAGAGAAAACATAGGAGGTTCGCAGACTCCACGAGCATGCTGCGGACTCGCTGGCATACCCGACGAGAGACTCCATTGAGGGGCGCCTCAACTCTGCAGCCGAGCCTGCCCGAAGACCGGGCACGCACAGACTCTCGGCGCCCCGAGCCACTGCGGGTCTGCCTCCGTGCGGGGGCAGCAGACGACCACGGCTACATCGAGACCACGCCCTCGGGGATGTCATGCGCATGCCAGCAGTCGTCAGGACACCGGGGCCAGCACAGTGCCGGTTGTGGTCGATGTGGGGTCCCAGGACAGCCAGATTCTCCACAAGCACAACCCAAGTGTTTATGTCGAGGTCGGTGGGAATTTCCCCGAGGGGCCCTCCCGAAAATATTCCGCCCAGTGGTGGTTGTGGTCCTTCGCTGTGCCCAGACACCCGCTGCAGGTCGAGGACCTTGCTGCGGTCACCGCCGCAGAAGAGGCGGCAGCGAGCCCCCGACTGGCCGCAGCCAGGGCCTGGGCAGTCCGCCTGGCAGTCTCTGCCGTGGACCACCTCGCACCACTCGCTGGCGCTCGAAGGGGGTGAGCTGCGCCCCGCACCTGCCTCCGAGGCGCACTGGCCTCGAAGCCGAAGAGGGCAAGCTTCTGACCTGGGCCTGCTTGGCAGCCCTGCCGCCGTGGCAGCCATGCCAGCGATGGCCACCACCCACGCCGTAACTCCGGATAGCAGCAGTGAGGCCGCGAGCAAAACTTGAAGCTCCAGCCAGAGGGGTCACAAGTTAGCCTCAGGTTCGTTTGCAACACAAAGTCCGCCCTTCTGCTCAGAAGACCGAGGTTCTCAAACTCTTCCTCGGCACTAATAAACTGACCAATGTTCGAGCCTCGGGTGATCGCGACGAACATACAATAATGAAGTCACGTCGCAAATCCTTGATCCCACCTGTCCGCCCCTTCCGTCCGTCATCCCATTATCCTACACATAAACGTCCGCGAGGTGTCGGCCTCTGCTTTGTCCTGCCCCTTGCGGTGCCACAACTCGATCTCCGCCCGCGCGATGTAGAGCGGGATCTTCGCCGCGAC